TGAATACCACTCGACAGGAATTGCTTGTTAATTTCCAACAGCTCGGAGAAAGTGGATCATTTTGTAGCGTTTTCCATTAACCTATGACCCAGGCCGGCATGCAATTTTCCTCCAATGTTGATGCCACTTGTATGACCTGTAAGAAGTCATTTAATGAAGATACGGCTCTGTGTAGCTCAATCATCAATAAGATTCCTGCGATGGGCTGTATAAAGCTGTGCTTTACTTTAGATTAGTCTTTAACCTTTCGGTCCAGTGTGTATCTAGCGTGTAAGCCTTAAATTCCCAAGGGCACCGTAACTTCGAGTTGAAGTGGTCCTGTCTGTCTGACACAATGTCTGATGGTGGCTCAGATGGATTGGTCGGACAGACTGTCCTGTCCGGATGGGTGGAGGAGGAACTTGTGGGGTGGGGGGGAGGGGGGGTCAGGGAAGGCGGTAAACGTAGTCCAGCAAAACATACTCCAGTTTACTACAATAACAACAAGAGCTTGCATTTATATCGAGCCCATCACACTGGGCTTTGCCTCTGAGCAAACATGCTCTGAGCCCAGAATTGTAACATTGCACTTGGTGCTTAGTCTGTGGGGAATCACTATACAACAACAACAACAAGATTACATTTGTATAGCGCCTTTCACGTTGGGAGGACGTCCCAAGGCGCTGGACAGAGTACAGCATTTCAGACCTGAGCTGGGGTCAGGGGGGGAGAAGGGAGGGGAAGGGGGTGGCCGATGGCATGGTCGAAGAGGAGGGTCTTGAGGCGGGACTTGAAGGACGCTAAGGAGGGGGTGAGCGGAGTGACTGGAGGATGGAATTCCAGAGGTTGGGGACAGAGTGGCTGAAGGCTCTCCCGCCAATGGTGGGGCGGGTGGGTCGGGGGACGTGGAGCAGGCCAGAGCCGGCTGAGCGGAGGGAACGGGCGGGTTGGTGGGGGGTTAGGAGGTCGCAGAGGTAGGGTGGGGCGAGGCCATGGAGGGCATTGTATGTGAGGACCAGGATCTTGAACTGGATCCTCTGAAGGATAGGGACCAGTGGAGTCGGGTGAGAGTGGGGGAGATGGGGTCACAGAGTTTGGTGCGGGAGAGGACACGGGCTTCAGAGTTCTGGATTATCTGCTCATTTGCATAGTCGAGCCCGGAGGTGATGAAGGCATGAACAAGAGTTTCAGCGGCCTGAGGGGTGAGGTAGTGGTGGAGTCGGGCGATGTTACGGAGGTGAGGAAAGGCAGAACGGGTTGAATGTGGGGGAGAAATGACAGTTGAGGGTCGAACAAGTCACCCGGGTTCCTAACTGGCTTGGTGAGTTGTAGTGTGCAACCATGAGCCTGAGATGCAGAGGCGCTGGCGTGAGCCAATCAGGAGGGCCTCAGTCTTGTTCACATCCAACTGTAGGAAATTTTCCTTCATCCAGGACTTGATGTCCGACAGCCGGTCTGTCAGGTCGATTCATTGAGGAGGCTGAGAGGCTGAAGGGCTGGATAACTTTTCAAGCTGGGACCTATAAATACATAAGGGGATGGGGAAGCTGGACTGATAGCAGGGGCTAAAGCCTGCAGAGAGGATCCAGTGTTAACCCTGTCTAGATGCGGTTTCCACTCTGCATGGTCAAACAACAACAATAAATAAACTTTGTACAGCGCCTTTCACGTCAGGAGGTCGTCCCGAGGCGCTGGACAGTCAGGGATCCGCACCCGAGCTGTTGGTCGGGATAAGGGGGGTGGCGGGGAGCGGGGAGGGTAGGGGTAGGAGGGTGACCGAAGGCGCGGTCGATGAGGAAGAAGATAAAGCTGGAAGAAAAGACCTTATCGCAGGTTGAGGAAACAGAAAGAGTCTGAGGCCCTGGTGAATGCCTGTCAACCGCTCCGTAACACTAATCCTGCAAGGGCTGGCAGTGTAAATGTCAAGGCTCATTTATAGCTGTATGAGCCCACAGAATGACGTGTGTTGACATATATGTGACGCCAAACTTGGCAGCTGAGGCAGGCTGAATGGAAGACGGAGTCGAGGAAAATCAATGGCATCGCAGCAGCTGAATCCATCTGAGAGAATCAGAGAGACCCTTCACATCCGAAAGTCTTCTTTCCAAAACAACCTCCGTAGCTCCACGCTACAGCGCTTCAAATTCATTACTTAATGAGGCGTAACGGTGGCCTGAGCAACAAAAAAAAACACCCACGTCAGGGTTATCTTTAGCTGCTGCTAAATCGAAAGCAGAACTGAGTCACTCCCATGGGAGGCTTTAACCAGAGGTGCGGCTAATTTTAAACTGCAGCAAGGACTTTTGTTCCTTCCAAATTCGGAACATTCCCATTCACAAGAGTGATTCGCCTCGATTTCACCCGATTCGAAAGGCTCCACTCACGCACGGTTGCAGCCAATCCAGGTTATTCTGAGCTTTCCAGCAAAGATGCGCCGGGCCTTTCCTCAGTAGCAAGCAGCGAAAATAATTGACGGCTTCCTTTGTCGGGCGAGTTCAATTCCTGTGGGGTCTGTCGCTGTTTTTGAAAATTGTTATTGTCGCAGTTCCGCACAGAAGTTGCTTGTGTTTTGTTAAGGGTTCGGGCCTTATTGGCTAACAGGGCTGATGTTGGACACGCACTCTCCATTACTGTGTCAGGCCATAATCGTGGGGGGACGGATAGGTCGATATTTGCCAGAGATTCAGAACCGAGGGGGAAACCTTTTCGGCATTTTCTAATTTGGTCAACTTGGTCCAATATGCCACTAGAGTGCCTAAAAATGGCCGACTTTCCTATCGTCAGGTCACCGCTGATGTCACCTACTGTGCGGGTAGGAGCACAGCGCACCAGGCGGTCACGTTTGCCGGCCTACCCGCACAACAGCAACAACTTGGATTTATATCGCGCCCTTTGCGCCGGACGGCGTCTCGGAGTGCTGCCCATTGCCCACGTGCACAGCACACAGTCACAGGAGGTCAACCATCTTGAGCGCTGGCATCTGGCTCGTCAGCCCTGAAAATACCTAATGACTATAGCGATTCCGTCTGGGTTTAGAAGTCGGACCCTTGTGAAGCGGGCAGGAGTTGCTGGTTTATTTATCTCCTCTTTCTCTCGTGTGTCCTACGTCGTCAAATTGAAGATGTGCTCCATTGCGCAATACCTTTCTCGAGACAGTTTGATTGATTGTGGCAGAGGAGAAGCTGGACACAGGGCCGCAGACAGCATGCCCAGCAACAGAGAATAAATTAGAACCAGTTTAATTTCCCACAGAGATTTTGGTGCTGCGAGGGGTTTTGTGCCAGATTGCGTTTCATTATCTAATCCTGTGATGCAGCACTCTACACCAGCACAGATTATTTCTCACAAAGTAGAGGAATTAAATCCCGATGAAATACTGTTGCTTTGCAGGTTTCCCTCTGCAGGGATACAGCACACAGCCCAAATAATTAAACACAACCAATACTCCTTGCTAATGAGAAATGATTTGTTTCCTTCCCCCACCAAACCTGTCGTCGTCTCAAGAGCTTCCTCCTCGACCGCGGCTACGATCATCTTTCCCCTCCCCACCACCCTCAGCTCAGATGTTGTGCTGGCGCTGTTGAGGGCCTTGGGCAGTGCCTTCGACGTGAAAGGCGCGATACAAATGTAAACATGTATCGTACGCGGAAGGCGCCTCAATGTAAATGTGCCTTGTATTGTTGACGAATCTCCATCCGCTTCTTGGAAGTTTGACTCCAGTGACTTTTGATGAGTTTTGATTTCATTGAAATGTATCTTAACTCGTACTCCAGAAATGGCAGCCAGCCTCTGACTCACTGTAATTGCTAGGCATCCACCACAGGAGCCGTGTTTATTTACCTTTAGAGCTATCATTCAATCTCCTGCCATGGCACAGACTGTGCTCAATCTGACTGGCGCGGGAGACAGATTCTTTGAAAATAAAAAGGTGTCTATTATTCTTTTAAAAACATTGCACCAGCTCGCTGGTTTAAAAATGTCTGAAACTGCCGAGGCTGGATGAGTTTACGCTATAAATAATCTTTGTATTTGATTTCATGCCTGTTTATGTCAATGTGTCAAAGTGCTTATAGGGAACTGCTGTCCAATGCAATGACTATGTATTTCAATGGTCGAGTGATTGAGTGCTCCCCTTCAGAATCCTTAATAAGAAATCAATTGCTCAACTGAGGGCTCTTTCTAGTCGCTGGAAGAATGTCAAACCAAACTCCGTACTGAACTCTGCTCTGGCACAGTTTCGGACTGGAGTTTCGCACACCGACTTGTGGGAATTTCTAATTGAGTTCTCTATTAAGAAATTCTATTAAGAAATACAGGAATGATAATAATCTTTACATTTATAGCGCCTTTCGGGTCGTGTGGATGTCAGAAAACTTCACAGCTCTGTAAAGTGTAATGAATGTGTGTTGTATAGAAACTAGAAAGCCATTTATCTGCATTAATTTGGTCTGGCAGGATTGTGGATAAGGAAACAGCGCAAATAATGGGTCATCATGCTAAATACAAATTGGCTACAGTAGTATCTAACACTTTTTTTCCATCAGGAGTTATACGGGCACTGTAGTATCACATGGTGCATCTCTTTCCCGCTCACTTTCTTTTTCTCATTTTGACTCTAAATTTCTTTCTCACTCCCTGTCTCCAACTCTACACTGTACTTGTATTTTTAAAGAAAGCTCAGTAAACACACTTGCCTTGAGTTGCCAGATTAGTCTTGCTGTTGGTCTAAAACCTTGTGAATATGCTCGCAACTAACCATTTTCTTTGCCAGCCTCACACTTCTGCTTTGGAGCCCGATATAGATAAGTGGACGTGTGGATACATGACATTGTGCTGTGTGGCAAATGCAATTTAGACCCTCCTGTTAATCCTCTATTAATGAGGGAAGATTTGGGGGAGGATGGGTTCAGGTTTCCGAACTGAGACCTCTTGCCAGAATTATAACAGACATTGATTGCAATGACTTGAACTGCACGTGCTTTAAGATTGATTCCGTTCCATTAACTCGTCTTCTCTTTCAGGCTTGGTTAACAGAGATACACGAATACGCTCAGCAGAATGTAGTCATCATGTTGCTAGGAAACAAGGTGAGCACCATTTGTTGTTTATCTGTTTGACGGAATTGGCTTCTCAACAGATTCCAGATTGCCAAAGGACCATAGTAAGAACCATAATTGTCAAGGAACCTAAAAAAAATTGCTCAGTGGTTTCTGTTAAAAGAGGTTCCTGCAAATGGCAAGTTTTAAGTAACTAACGGACCCAGGCTTGATCGCACTGAAATATTTAGGAATTTTGTGAGTAATTATGTGATAGAATGTTAATAGTGATAGCAGCCTTACACCAGCCCGTGTGATTTTGTTCCTGGGCAGTTGTATGGCAGCCTTACCCCAGTGATTTGGTTGACTTTTGTATGTTGGTCAGTGTAAGTCCATCTCTTGCTGGTTGCTGTATCCTCACACCGGGTACGATGGTCTGAGATTCATCTGATTGTTTTTATCAATGTCTCCATATAACCTCCGTACAATCTTCAGTGCCTGAGCTAGAGAAGTGGCCTTCAAAGTTTTTCTGAACACAAAACCATTTTACAAACCAAATGTTGGAGAGGACAGTTGTATTTACTGGCATCTGGGTGATGGGAACAGAGCGAGAGGGAGAGAGAGAGAGAGAGAAAAAGAGAATAGGAGAAATGGTAAAGGAATAAAAGGTACCGGAGATAGAAGCAAAGATGGGGGTAACACAAAGGTTTGTGAGATTTTCCTGTGTTGGTCACACTACAACAACAGCAGCAACTTGCACTTATGTAGCGCCCTCCATGCAGGGGAGCGTCTCAGTGCTCTTCACTTGTGTGTACAGTGCTTTGTGTCCGCGTATGTGCGCATTGGGCCAGCAATGTGATTTTGAGTGCGCTGTAACACTCTGCACATCAGGCAAGTTCCTCCTCAACTTGTCCATGGAATACTGAAAGCTGGTGCTTTTGTTTTCTTTTGCAGGCTGATATGACCGGAGAGAGAGTCATCAAGAGAGAAGAGGGAGAGAAATTGGCCAGGGTGAGCCGTAAATCCAATGTTACCATGTAAATCCAAATGTACATGGTAAAATGTGTCGCTGTTTTTCTCTATACATTTCATGTTCTCTCTCTTTCTCTCTCCCCCCCACCACTTCACTGGTCAGCAGTCTGTGACCCACCTGCAATGTGTAAGGCACCCACTCCACAATGCGTAAACTTCCTCCGATAATAATCCTGTAACAATAATAATAATAATCCTAGCATTTGATATAGCGCCTTATCGGGTCTTCAAGACATCTCAAAGAGCTTCACACAATATACTGTAAAGTACTGTGTATTTTGGGGGCAGATCCACAGAATAACCCACAGCCGTCCACGCCACCTCATATTGTTACTCTTTCTCAGCTCTACAACTACCACATCCACAGCACGGAGGGTAACTAATTCATATTTAACCAGCTCTCAAATCGGGGTGAAGCCTGACCTGCCTCTCTCCCCAACCCCCCGCCTCACCCTAACTCCACTTTACCAAGGTATTGGTGAGAACTGCAACTCATTCAACTTACAAAGCTGAGCCCCACCAGTTGGCTGTTGATCAACCTGTATACTTAGAGATTGGTGTTACAGCGTGAGACTTAGTCTGAACTGTAATTGCAGAGAGAATGTAATGGGCTAGTGAAATATCTTTACGTGTGATCCACAGGAGTACGGCGTTCCCTTCATAGAGACCAGCGCTAAAACAGGCATTAACGTGGAGCTAGCATTCATGGCTGTTGCAAAGTAAGTGCCTCTTTCCTAATCTCTTAAAAGCCATAGTCCATTTTTTTTTCGTACCTTATCACATCAACATCTCAAACAGTGGTTATGTTTTGCATAGCAATGTCCTACAAACACTCATGAGCTGAATGGCCAATTTATCCAAAGAATTGTTGGCCGGGAGACTGGGAGAAACTCCTTGGTCTTTCCGAATAGTATCATAAGATCTTTAACATCCGCCTAAAGAACAGGTAGGTAGGAACGTGGTTAGCATTTTTGGCCAATGTACAGCAACTAACAGTGACCGGTCCTCCAGGACTGTATCAGCCAGGGCGATCAATCCTAATATAGGGCTTGAAAGCAGCCCTTTTGGCCCAGAGATATGAGCATGACACACAAAACTGGGCTGATACATTGAGAGTGAATTACAGAGAATTGTTGGGCGTATAGGGTTACCAGTTGTACAAATGTAACTTGTTGTAGTACTTAGGTACATTGTGAATCTATTCCCTTCCTGTCTTGTATCCCCAGTGTACTCAGTGACACAGTCACAAGAGTTAGTGGTAATAAGAGAAACCGCTGCAGTGACCAACATAGATTTACCACAGTGCGAGTCACCTCCTTGAGGAGAGGACAGTTAGGAGGAAACAAAAACCAACGGTGAATGGAAAAAAAATTGTCCTTTTGTGTTAATATATCAGCTGCCTGAGGATGTGGTAAAGTCAGGAGTTCGACAGCAATTAAAACTCCACACTAAGCTGCTGGTTTGGGCATTAGACACAGCGGCCAAATTGAAATGCCCATCACATGCTCACAAGAACTCTAATAATGTACATTCATCCGTCCAATGTTGGTTGAGATAATCGGCCTTGATACTCTCCTTGCGGGTGTAATGAATGAGTTTACTGCACTGAGCGCTCTGGGACGCCGGCCGGCGTGGAGGGCGCTATATAAATGCAAGTTGTTGTTGTTGAGCAAATAGAATAACAGTGTCAGCAGCAGCTCAGTTATCATGGACCTGAAAGGCCTCTGTTTGTGCTGACACTTTCTAGGCTTCGTTACCTTGGTTGGGTTTCTTAATTTGCAGGGGTAATAGTCCCTTCGAAAAAGAATTAAATGAATAATAATTTGGTCACTCGATCCATGGTTGCCCAATTGGCTGCCACGTTTCGCTCACAAAACACACAGTCACTTCACTTTATAGTATATTGCGTGAAGCGCTTTGAGATGTCTGGAAGACGTGATAAGTCGCTGTATCAAATGCGAGGATGAAGGATGATGAATGCTGTTTTCGTTTCAGGGAGCTCAAACACAGATCTGTCAATCAGCCCAATGAGCCCAAATTCCAAATCCACGAGTACATCGAATCCCAGAAGAAGAAGTCCAGCTGTTGTGGGTTCGTCTAACAAGCCGTGAGGTTGGAGGACTCTGGCTGCGTTCGGCTTTTGTGAATGGCAGTGGAGGGGCGCACTGATGTGCACCGTTTGTGTAATACCCATCCATGCTCTCTACGCTGAGTTCAGTTGTGGTCTGGCTCATCATTTTGTAACGTGACATCATGCTGTCCTCATGCATTTGACTACCATGCGAGTGAGAGTTCTCTCCTCTCTCTGCCGTTTTACTGATGTGTCTTCTTCTGTTTGGAGCTCTGATGGTGACGCAATGGCTTTGCGTTGCCTGGGAATCGCTCACACGCCTTGACATGAAAGTCCTCTCAATGGGAGCCATTGTAAATGACCCTCCCGATTTCTGTACCGTTCAGCCAGTCAGCTACTGTGTATTGTAACCTGACTTTAAGGAGTACTGTATTTAAGTTCTAATCTTTCACGTCTCATTCTATCACCACGCAATAGCTCACCCCCCGCCTCGCTCTCTCCTCCATCCTTTTCCTTCCCCCCGGGACACAGGAGCTCAGCTGTCCTGAACTCCAGCATCTGACTGGTAGGAAAGCTTCAAAATCACATTCTCAGTCTGACCACTATCCAGCAGTATTTATTTTGGTCAGTGGGGGTGTCTGACACAAGCGAGAACCCATTGCCCTGCTTAAGAGTATCCCAAAACCAAGTTGAGCGTTGCACATGTGAATGCCGCCCTCACGTGGAAATTTCCCTTTGTCTAGAATGGAACGTGCAGCATCTCCCCGGTCGGACGTACCCTTCTTTACCCAATTCTGGATAGAATTAGGCACAGGCTATGGGGAAACAGCGGGGTTGGGGTGATGGTGGGGGAGTGGGACTAGTTAGAGAGCTCTTTCAAAAAGAGCTGGGCACAGGCACGATGGGCCGAATGGCTTCCTTCTCTGCTGTAAGGTTCTGTGATTCACAGATTAATGAGATTTGCCACAATCTCGAAAAGCGACCCGGGCAGGTCTCAGGAGGGAAGCTTTTGCAGAACTAAATTTATTGCCAGATTCCAGGGAGATCCCCTTTGCTTATTGTAGCCTGTGCTGAGTCCGACTCTTGTAATCAGCTGTGACATTGTGTGATAAGTTTCCATCTGCCTGTTACTACGAAATTAACTTTGTAATTAACCCTGTTTAAGGATTGCTCTTTCAATGATCTAGTGGGTCACACAAGCTGCCGGATACAGCATTGAGCAATGCAGACTCGTGAGTCTGCAGCTTGCACTTATATAGCGCCCTCCACGCAGGGTAGCTTCTCAGAGCGCTTAAAGAGTACTAGAAGCATAGGAACAGGAGTAGGCCATTCAGCCCCTTGAGCCTGTTCTGCCATTCTATTAGATCATAGCTGATCTATACCTCAACTCCAATTACCCGCCCTTGGCCTGCAACCCTTGATACTAATTAGTTCCCAAATGCCAACCATTCATCAGAAGAAGGGAAAACACCTCCAGGCAAGGAGTCGGGGAAGGAGAAAAAACGGAGGTTTGAAAATCAAGTCCTGTTTTGGGGTTTGCATTCCTCGTGAACTTCCTTTGCCAGAATGACCTGCAAACATGTTGCACTTGCGGATCGAGCCAAGTGCAGACATGTAAATAAAAGTGCCAACCAGGATGCCAACACATGGCACCTGTAGAGAGCCGGAGGAATGGAGTATTGTCAATCTCTCTCCCCAGTGAGGACAAGAGGCCCTGGTCTCAGGGGCGGGGGGTGGTGGGGGTGATGGCATGATTCATCACTGGTAACAGTCGTGTTTCTGCTGCGCAAATGGCCAAGTCGATATTTACTGTGTGAATGTGAATCCAGAGTATTACTGACTGCGACACAGGCGACAGTGCTGATGTCCTTGGGTTGTGGCATCATACAACAGCGACAACTTGCATTTATAAAGCGCCCTTCACACAGGAGCAATGTGGCCAAGAAGCAAAATAATACTATTACTAAACCCTGTTGTCTCCCTGTAAATACATCTGACTCAGCACTGTGGTAAATCTCCCCGTCTCACAATCATGTGACGTAGCTGTAAATATCCTGTCTTACAGCCCCTGTGTACGATATAGCTGTGAATCTCTGTCATCTCAGACCCTATGTGTAATATAACTGTAAATATCCCGATTCAGACCTTGAGTGTAATATAACTGTAAATTCTAGTCTATTTGTGGTGGAGTTTGATAATCGGATAATCGTTCCACGTTTGGTCTCTGAATCTCACGTCCTGAGTTGAATTGCTGCCTTTACCAGTTTGCGTGTGGGAGACGGGATGTGTGTGTGTGTGTGTGTGTGTGTGGTGTGGGGTGGAGGGGCGGGGGGGGGGGGGTGGTGCGGGAGAGAGGTTGCATTGAGTTCTGTAATCTCTGTTCTGTTTGGCTTGAGCTGCTGAGCCCACAGAATGCTTTGTGGAAATTTGCCCCGTGGTCAGAGATGGTCAGTGTCACTGCACAAATGGATTCTCGTAACTTCCCGGAGTTTGGATACGTTTGATGAACACATTATGTTTAACAAACTCTCCTGCATCTCTTTCCTGCGGTCGTGTGAGGGCTGTCGCGAGTGGGATTTCTCCCCCCACCTTCGGTGTCTTATGTGGAGAAAATCCTTAGCACAACATTTGAAGAGCCACGAATGGTTTGTTTCTGTGCGTTAACTTTCTAGTGATTCATTGCAACGATTTTCCTGATTTATAGTATTTTTTCTTGCTGTCGGTTCAGCTTGCACGTCTTTCCCTCAACAAGTTAGTTGGTAGCTGCCCCTGCTCTGTACTGCGTGACTGATCTCTGGTACATCCACCCCATCCTCGTCCTTGCTCAGTGATTATTACAAGCAGCTCAGAGCAGGAATCTTGTTCTTACTTCTGCCCACTCTGCTTTCTCACCATCTCCGTTAGGGTTTAGACTGCTGCGCGCAATTGGCTGCCACGTTTCACCCGCAAAATATAGTCAATTCGCTTTACAGTACTCACTGTGAAGCGCTTTGAGGCGTCTCGAAGACGCGATAAGGCGCTATATCAGATGCAAGGATTATTATTATCGTTATAAAGCTTCCTCTCGAATAGTGATCTGCACCAGACAAGCTGCCTGGCCAGAGTGCTGACTGTTTAACGTAGCCTGTGAATTTAACTGTTCAACCAGCTTGTAACGCCAACTCATCAAATCCCGTGGGTAAGATCACATCACGTGCATCAGAGTGTCTCTCTCTGCTGCACAACTAAGTGCCTGAGAGCTCTGACACAAAGTACATCAACTCCCCTCTCTCCTACCCCCCCCACCCCCCCCCCCCATCCAACCCCACACACATACTCTCCTCGAGGTTGTGTGGCCGGGGTGATTTTCAGAAAAAGTTTTGTGTTGGAAGCTTCGCCTCGGCAGCATTGCCTCGGAGAACACGATTGTGTCATTACCGTTGAGTTTCACAAACTAGTTCGAGGGCTTGCAAGTCAGAACTTGCAAGTGAACACGGTGCCTGCTGAAGTAATTGTCCTCAGGGCACCGATCGACAGGATCCTCTGTAGTTGCTGGAAAATAGAATCTGCATTTGTGCCTTTCGTGTTGAGCTCGGCTTTGTTTCCCCCGACAGGCTAGTGCCCTGGCAGTTCAGAAAACAGGTCGACGGCTGGTTCTTCCCGATAAGTGCTTACCTTTGCCGTCCTGTCTGTGTTACGAGCCCGGACACTGTGTTCATGCTGCTCAGGACAAGTGGCTGTGTAAGCGAATGTGCTCCGACACTCATCTCCCTGATCTATCTCGCTGGGGTCCTGCTCCAGCGCCTCCCCTCCTCTGCTCAGTCGAGTCGTGCTGCCTTTAATAAAGTAATTTGTTTGCCACATTGTGACTTTATTTACCCGTCTTTTTATTTACTCGCTTTTACTCAATCAACGACTGTTTGTGGGACACTTCTGTAAGCAATTGGCTGCCGCGTTTCGCCCACAAAATATAGTCAATTCACTTTACAGTGTATTCTGTGAAGCACTTTGTGACGTCTCAAAGTCGTGATACGGCACAGTATCAAATGCAAGGTTTATTATTATTATTGATATTTTCCAGATAAGGGCTTCCCTGGAAACTGTTTATATACAAGGAGCTTAGACTTGGGACTGTCTCTTACCCTCTCACCCCACCAAGTGTGTCAAGGAGCCAGGATCATGAGATTGTTGTGATTGACTTATCTTTTCTTATCCCTGACTTTGATTTCTGGTGAGGACTGCCTGACATAATGAAGCTCCACTACTCAAAAGCTCCAGCTCATTCAGAACTCTGCCACCCACATACTGACCCAGACCGAACTCCGTACCCACACCTCACCAGTTCTGGCCCAGGCTCCACTGGTTCCCCAACACCGAACGGATCGACTTCCAAGATCCTCACACGCGTGTGTCCAAATCCCTTCACTCTCTGGCACCTCCCTACCTCTCCGACCTCCTCACTCCCCAATCCACCACCCGGTGCCTCCGCTCGACTGACCCCAGCCTCCTGCTCATCCCTCACACCCTCCGCTCCACCATCGGAGGTCACCATGCCCCGAAAATGTGCAATACTCTCTTTCAATCCCTCTACCTTGCCCCCCTCCCCCTTTTCAAGTCCGGCCTGAAAATCTTCCCTTTCGACCTTGCCTACAGTCACGTCCCCCCATCCGGTCCCTCTCCACACTGTGGGACTCTACTCTGCGTGGAGAGCGCTATATAAGTGCAAGGTGGTGGTGTTTCAGTCAACGTTGAGAGGCTCCAACTAACTGGAACGAAGCAAATTGCTTTTCCACATTTGAGAAAGTTAATAGAAGCAATATTTATGAGGCTTCATGGGTTAGAGCTAGCAAGTGCAGATACACTGAACTCCTGCTCCTACCAGCGCATGCATAAGGACAAAATGCTTGATTGAATCACCACGTCCATCAGAAGGAAATTGCCTCATTTATTGAAAAAACATTTCTAAAAAAACAGCATCCACTGGAGTCGGGTGCTGCGTTTACTGTCTACTCAGACTTTGGTTAGGCCATCGGATCGCAGAAGAATGTCGCTGATATTCTGCTCCAGTTGGCTGAAGCATTGCTGTATAATCAGCAATTTCCTTGGATGCTAGCGACCCCTCATGGCAGGGACTAAGTACTGCATTGGTTCAAATTTTATGTAAACTGGCTCCATTAATAATTTCTAGCTGGGGTGGAGGGGGTGGGTGGTGAGGGGGAAGGAGGGGCAGAAAATCACTCGGTCAGTCTGCTGCTGTGCTCGAGTGAGATAGTCCACACTAGCGAAGTCAACTTGTGGTAGAATGTAAGAACATTGGGAAGTTTTCCCATTGCTTTGGGAAATTGGTGTTACAATCACAACGCAAATTGATGCGAAAGCCAGATTCACTGAATAAAGAGACCGACACCTGACATGCCCTGTGGTGGGTTCGTTATCTTCTCTCTCCCTCCAGTAGGCGGGCGGGCGGGCACCCTATCGTACAGCTTACACCGCAAGGCAGCAATGGGGACAAGTGGTTTGCATTAGCTCTCATCATTTAAAAAAAAGAGAAACCTTTGGGTTATTTTGTTTCTTTAAAAAATAATCTTCAATCCACAAAACAGCCTTAAAGTAAGTAACATGGCACTGCACAAACACTTGCCAATCAGGACTGTTGAGTTCCTTTTTGCTGGTGAAAATCCTCCCAACTTCAGTTTCCCAAATTTGCAGAAAGTTTGATGTGCAGAATGGTGGCAGGGAGTTGGCTGGCTGGACACGGGATTTCTTCTGTTCTTGCCAAAGCAAATGTGGCCCGGCTCAGTCCACCACCTCGCTGTAGTAGTATTTCTGGCCCATGTCCGACATCTTCCAGCCGCCAGCACGGAACTCGATGATCTCCAGGAGCAGCAGGCGGGAGAGGGAGGAGGGACGCTCCTGCAACAGGAAGCCATCTCGCAGCAAGCAGAAGAGCTCGTCCATCCTCGGCACGTTCATCTTCTCCAGCTGTTCCCCAATGCGATGCAACTGCAGCACCAAGCAGTCCACCTGCACACAGCGAACATAAGACCACAACTTGCCTATGTGGAGCCCTGTAACTCAGAGGTTAAAGCACTGGCCTCGCAAGCGAGAGGACCTGGGTTCAATTCCCGGCAGGGCAACTTTCCTTACTCCACACGCCTCTGTTTACCTTGCAGTAAGTAGGAACCCAGTTGTTAGTCGATTGGCGAATCACTTTTTCGGGGATAATAATCTCTCAAAAAAATGAAAATAATAATTTGCTCACTCAATCTATGACTGGTTATGGGATACTGCTGTGTGCAATTGGATGCCACGTTTTGCCCACAAAAATGTACAGTCAACTCACTTTACAGTATATTCTGTGAAGTGCTTTGAGATGTCTCGAAGACGTGATAAAGCTCTATATCACATGCAAGGATTAATATTATTATCATATATATCTACTGTACACAATGCCCCTCATGCAGGGTAGAGTCCCAGAGTGCACAACAACAAATTACAATTGCATAGCACTTTCACGTCGGAAGGACGTCCCAAGATGTTCACTCCCCAATGTTCACTCCCTGGGCCCCCAGTCACTCCCGGTAGAGCAGCTGGCTACATACATGTTAGTACCACTCCACCCCACACACGCACTCACGCATGCACACACAGTATTTTAACTCCTTACTCACCTCCTCTTCATTCTGCAGAGAATCAGGCTGAGCCAGCCGCATCAAGCAATCGTACACGGGGTTAACCAGCACCATCATGGGCATGTTGTTTACCTGCGCAACAAATGGGAAACTGAATGACGTTAATCGTCAAGTCGAATCAAACAAGTCCACTGAATTCTTGTTGCTAATCCATCTCCGGTGTCTGTGTGACTGGAGCTTGCAGCATTATCACTGCGATAGCTCTCACATCGGGTTCTGCTTCCACCCAGTGGCAGAAAGTAAACACCGCAGAAGAGCAACACAGGAGATAGCACGACACTGAGTAGAAAGCAAATACCCTTCATCTCAGGATGGAATAGCATTCTCTTAAAGCACCTTCTAATGATTAAGAGCAGGGCCAACGTAACTGGCTGGCATTTTACCATCAGCTGAACTCCACATTAAACACACATGCTGTGCGCAATTGGCTGCCCACAAAATATACAGTCAATTCACTTTGAGGCACTTTGAGACTTCTCGAAGGCGCTATATCAAACGCAAGGATTATTATTATTATTATTATTGTTATTATTATGTGACAATGTGGCTGAGGTTGCGTGCAATATAATACAATATCTATGAACCCCGTGATACAAGAGAAATTACAAGAGCATTGTAATGAGGGTGATATAACAGACTGTACAATCGCACTGGGATGTTACCCTGAGTGAGCAGCGCTATATAAATGCAAGTTGTTTTTGTTGTTGTACAATAATATGGAGCCCTGTAAGGACTGGGTGGAAGTAACACAGGGAGCGTTGAAAGGTAGTGTTAGTAATAATAATAATCCTTGCATTTGGTACAGCGCCGTATCACGTAAGAAGGACATCCCGAAGCACTTCACAGGATTTCTTTGGAGTGACAGTGTATTTGTAGGCAAACTCTGATATCAGAGTCACTGAGCAGTTAAGCTTCTAGTGACTGCTCTCCGCTGACATGACGAGTTACTCACCTTCAGGTAATCAAAGATGTTGCAGATGAAGGTGACGAGGCAGACCCACTCGTTGATTGAGTCACTGCGGATATCGTCCTTGGCCAGGAACACCTGCTGCAGGCGATTCAGCAGTTTTCCCCGGAAAACACTATTCCCACTTTGTTTGCATTCAGCCTGCAAATGGGAAAGGAAGGGCGGACACTCGAAACAACAACAAATTATATTTGTACAGCGCCTTTCATGTCAGGAGGAACTCCCAAGGCATTGGACAGTCTGAGATCCGCACGCGAGCTGGTGGTTGGGATCAGGAGGGGTGGCAGACAGGGGGGTTAGGGAGAGGAGGGTGACCGAAGGCACGGTCAAAGAGGAGGGTCTTGAGACGGGTCATGAAGGAGGCAAGGGAGGGGGCGAGGCGGAAAGAGAACGAGAGGAGAAATAGTAATATCTTATGCCTCGCTGTAAGAGATTGTTTTTTTTTGTGGTGTCTGTACAGTATAATATTTCTCCAACTTCAGACAGATGGATAGATAAATCACTAACAAATTTTTCCACCTCCTTCCGCCTCACACCTTATTTTTGATTCTCTTCATTTACATGTGTGTTTTCTCTTTCTGTGCAGTTTTGCCGGGGGTACAGGCCGAGGATTGACACCTGGCTCCTCCGCCACTCGTTCTGAGGGCTCGGATTCCCTCTCGCTTCCTGGCTATTGTCACAAAGCAGGAGGGAGGGACTGAGAGGGAGACATGGCAGGAGTGGCCATGAAGACCTCTGTGGGAGCTTTTGAATCCAGCCCAGGCTGATTGATGGGATGGAAATCTCCATTGTTATGAGAAACGAGTTGAAGGCAATCTCAGCCCTCCTGTGGGGGGGACACTGCACTAACACCTTACGTAGGTCACCACAACATCCACACGTGATAGGGATCTGTAACGTTTCCAAGACTTCTCCAGGTTATCATCACTGGATTCCACACAGAGTTCTGGTGCCTAATGCCCTGAGTTAACCACACAGTCCCCTGTAGCCCTGTAAAGCTGTGTGTGTGAGAAAGGATTAGTTGAGGTGCAGATCAGCCATGATCTAATTAAATGGCGGAACAGGCTTGAAGGGCTGAAAGGCCTACTCATGCTCCTACGCGTGGGGGAGCGCTGTGGGAGACAGAGTGCTCTATGTACCTGGACAATGGTGTAGCAGATGCGACCTGCTTCCTTACTGAACACCAAATCCTTCATCGATTGCTCCACTATCACGCTCGCCACTTTCTCCAGGTCCACCAAGGTTGGTTCTGTAAAGCACCAGGAATAACTTCAGGTTTTCGGAAGGTGTTTACCTCTCCTGCCCTTGTGTTAACCTCGTCGACCTGCTCTGCAGATGTCGTTTTGCTTTGTATCTAACCACTAGGAGGTGATGGAGATCAGCCAAGGCTACACTGTGCACCTCTGAACCTACGTGAAAAACATCTTCAGAAAGAGCAGGAACTGTGATACTAACCAGTTTAAGATTCTCTTAAGACTGTGTTTAGATTCCTCTTCCCTCTCCTCCACCACCCATGCGTTTTACTGACAATGTGTGGCAACATCCCAGCTCCACGTCACTGATGTGAAGAAGCAGACATGCGTACAACTACACGCTGTTCAACATACATGTGCAGTGTTTAATGTTATAACACACGCGCAGAAACTCTCACATTTGATCCTGGCGTGCTAACCGATCTCAACCGAAATTCTGTTAGTGGGGCTACAATTGCTCTCAGAGCCTAGATTAGGGAAAGGAGAATCCACCAGCATTCCTGTTGCCCCAGTCTCCAGTGTCCTGGAGATGAGGTGACTCAGACACCCGTGGATCGGGTGGGGACAGGATTAGGCCAACAAAAATACACAGTCTAACCACTTTACAGTGCAACCCAATTCAATACAAAATTATATTTGTGCAGCGCCTTTCACGTCGGGTGGGCGGGGGAAACATCCCAAGGCCCTGGACAATCAGGGATTTGGACCCGAGCTGGGGGGTTGGGATCAGGGAGGGTGGAGTGCAGGGAGGGTAGGGCTTACGAGGGTAGGGTTAGTAGGGTGGCTGAAGGCACGGTTGAAGAGGAGGGTCTTGAGACAGGCCTTGAAAGAGGCAAGGAAGGGAATGAGCATGTGAGGCGAAGGGACTGTGGGATGAATATATCCTGTGGTGCATTTTGAGACGTCATGACGACTTGATAAGGCGCTGTAACCAAAAAATGCAAGGACTGGATTCAGCTGTGCCACTGACACTCAGTCACTCTCTGGACTCACTCACACACAGTCGGTTGGTGAGGTATGAGAGGGTGAGGTGTTGCCGGCACGAGCACAAGAGATTGCTGACCTTTTAAGGCTGTTTTCAGCAGCTGCTGCGTCTCCACATCAAATGACTGGATCTTGTAATCGTCCTGTGCTGTATTCGCCATGGTCTGTGCTCTGGTCATGTATCCAGACAGTGTGAAGACAGCTGGGGGCAGAGTAGAGAGGTCAGTCCTAACAAGTGTCACAGAATCACTACGGATTGCAGTAACACACCTGAACGAACGATGACGACAACAGCAGCAACTTGCATTTATACAGCGCCCTTCACGCCAGACGGCATCTCGGAGCATTTAAACGAATCCCACACAATGAAATAATTAGGGCTTCTGATTTTTGATTGTATACCCGATAAAACACCCCCTCCCCCCACCCCACCCCCCCCCCCCCCCGACACAAAACACATTAAACTGTTGTCTACCCAATAAAAAAAACGAAAAACACCAGAAATTCCTGTCGTGACATAAATCTGAGGTGAGGTTTTCTCCGGCGCTTTGGGACGTCCTCCCGAAGTGAATCTAATGTGTTGTTGTTGTCCTCACTCACTCTCGGAGGCTTGCCGGGGTGCCAACTGCAAGAGTGTTGCACTCAGCTTCTCGCTCTGCTCCATGGACATTAGCCTCTCCCCCCCACCCCCCCCCCTCCGTGTGTGTTGGTGCATCTTCTCATAGTGCTTTCATGTCGGGAGGACGTCCCAAGGCACTGGACACAGTATTATACAATATGATAAAATTATATTTATTATGATTATAATAAAAGAAAACGCAATCAAATAAAAAAAACCAAAGGGCTAAAAAAAAACTGAAAATCAGAAGCCCCACATAGGATCTCCCCCAAGTGGTCAGGCCACACAGTCTCGTGTCTGCAACCTGGAAACTTCGCGGAAACTATTCCAGCAATTCAAGTCTGTGGAGTAACTGATTCTTTACTCATTATTCTTCCTTCCCTCCACCCCCCCCGCCACTTTCCCCAGCGAGGGTCAGGGTCTCCCGAGACTGTTTCTGGGTATTGTGGAGTCCTGTAGCTCAGTGGTTAGAGCACTCGCTTTGCAAGTGAGAGACCTGAGTTCAATTCCAGGCAGAGGGCGAAACCTTGGGCAAGTTTCCTTACTCCACACAGAGCCTAATAATAATCCCTCCCAAACCAAAAACTATAATAAATTGGTCATTTTCAATCCCCGACTGTTTGTGGGACATTGCTGTGCGCAATTGGCTGCCGCGTTCGCCCACAAATATACAGTCAATTCACTTTACAGTGTGTTCTGTGAAGCGCTTTGGGACGTCCTCCCGACGTGAAAAGCGCTATATCAAATGCAAGGATTATTATTTCTTAGTAACCGTTTCAACCTACAGTGATACCCTCCCCTCCCCTACCCCACCCTCCCAAACCCAACAGTGACCCTCCCCCAAACCCGACAAGCTGGTATTCTGTTAAATTCCCCCCCCCCCACACACACAACAACAACAACTTGCATTTATCTAGTGCCCTTCACACTGGACGGGGTCTCGGAAGGCTTTCAGCGCACTCCAACACAGCCAGAAAAACAGGCTCACAGTTCATCAGAACTCACTCACTCACCTTCCAACTCTCGACATATTTCACGCTCAGGTCCCAACAAGAGGACAAAAATGTACAGAACCCAAGCCAACGGCAGCTCCAGGCCCCCCCCCCCCCCACTCGCATCTCTCCCTCGAAAAGTTTCTCGATTTGAAGACAGCAAAGTTTCACGTAAAACAAGTCATTGACTTTACCTCTTAAGCGTCTTAGGTTTGCCTTTTTCACGCACGTCTCTGCACGATTGTTATCAACTGTAACAGTGACAGAGGAGTGGAACACAACCAGACTGTAAGCAGATCTCTCTCTCCCTCTCCCTCTCCCGCTCGCTCTCTGCTCTCCTCCCCAGGGCTTGGGCTGGAACCTTGCCCATATCCCACACAATAGCACACAGTAAATCTAACCTCCGAAATACGCCAGCTCAGCACTCCCGCCACACAGCACTACCCCATTGTGAGGGACTGAGAGAGAATTAGTGTGATAGCAGCCTCTTGTCTGTCCCTCTGCGGTCTCTATTCAGTGTTGCGCTGTTGTCTGTGTTTAATACCGAATGCGGATTTACACCGGACTGCGCTTTTGCAGACGCTCAGCAAACTCACTTCTCATTAGCAAAGCTCCAGAAATACATTTCTAAGTTACCGTTTGAAGTTGAATTATTTTGGAAACGCCTCAATTCCTCGGCCTCTCCTCTCCACCAAAGCAGACGAACCTTCAGGTTTACTCTCTCCCCACTCCCCCCCCACCCTCCCCCCACACACACAGAATACATAAAAGTGTTTGGTAAAGCTCAGGGGAGAAGAGTGATGAGCAAGGTAACAACAACAACAAATTACATTTGTGTAGCGACTTTCACGTCAGGAGGATGTCCCAAGGTGCTGGACAGTCAGGGATACGCACCCGAACTGGGGGTTGGGATCAGGAGGGGTGGGGGGGGGGGGTAGGGAAGGTGGGGTAGAAGAGTGACCAAAGTCCTGGTAGAAGAGGAGTGTCTCGAGACTATTACTATTGTCACTCGGGGGTGCTTGATATAATTTACATGATGGGGCAGAGGTCCCCAAACATCAGCAACACAGTATGATGATGGCAGCGCCCCGTTTTAAACAGAGTAGCCGAGCGGCAGATCAGCACAAAAAAAAAACTTCCTCTGTCCCAGACTGACCCTCGGCAGGATTTTAAGTTGAAAATGACAGACTGGCACATTCAGCGCAAACCAAAACTGCTTACGAGCTCAGATCTGTGCCTTTAATCCCGGCATCCTGCGACTGCCTCCCCATTTTGCCACAAGAGCGGGTACTGTGGGCAGTTAGCAGCATGGACGTCAGAAGTTTCCGAGTTCATCGCCTCGCTCGCCTTCACTCACCCGAGCTCAATGTCCCTCTGTGTAAAAGTCTAATGCAGTACAATTGCCATGAAAGATCACACTGTACTATACACCACACAGGACCTCTTCAAAAAAAACAAGCAACATTACAGGTAAACGCCATCACTGACAGATTCTGATGCAGAATCCCTTGGATTACAGGGTGATGATGATGATGATAATTATCATCATCCCTGCATTTGATATAGCGCTTTACCACATTGTCGAGACGTCTCCAAGCGCTTCGCAGGATTTTACTGTGAACTGTAGTGACTGCTTTTGTAGGCGATCGCGGAAGCTAATCACACTCAGATGCGATGCTCTAATTCCGATACTCTGCCCACTGTGACTGTCCGGCTTCATATGACGGGCTCTGAAATAAGGCTTTGGCAAAGTGGTTTTGTTTTGTATTCATTGCAATTTCTGGTTTGGATTGCAAGTTTTACACACAGCGAACTGTCAACTCTAAGGTAGTGAGAAGTCAGAGGGGAGGGGGAGAGGTGAGGGGGCGAGGAGAGGCGGGGGGGCGAGGGGAGGAGCTATCATATGAGAATCTCTGACTAAATCTAAAAGTACAAAATCTGTTTTGTGAAGATCGAAACGTCAGACAGAATTTACATTTTCGCCCACAAAATCCGCCGTCAATTCACTTTACGGTACATCCCGTGAAGCGCTTTGAGACGTCCCGACGACATGATAAGGCGCTGTATCAAATGCAAGGATTATTAATATTATCATTAATCATCATCATTATTATTATTATTACAGACCCCAGTGTGAGGAGCAGCCCACAGCAGAGTTCTGTATGGCATGTCAGGCTCCACTGGGGAGCATTGCCTTGAGGAACCAGAGAGAATTAGTGTGATAGCTACCTTTGTGTCTGTCTCTCTGGGGTGGGGGGGGGGGGGTGGGGGGGGGGGGGTTGTGGGGTTTGGGGTATAAACATTGCTGTAAAGTCATTTTTTAAAGTTAGGTACATTTGGAGTCCTGTAGCTCAGTGGTTAGAGCACTCGCTTTGCAAGTGAGAGACCTGAGTTCAATTCCAGGCAGAGGGCGAAACCTCGGGCAAGTTTCCTTACTCCACACAGAGCCTAATAATAATCCCTCCAAAACCAAAAACAATAATAAATTGGTCATTTTCAATCTACGACTGTTTGTGGGACATTGCTGTGCGCAATTGGCTGCCGCGTTCGCCCACAAATATACAGTCAATTCACTTTACAGTATATTCTGTGAAGCGCTTTGGGACGTCCTCCCGACGTGAAAAGCGCTATATCAAATGCAAGGATTATTATTATTATTATTTCCATCCAGATTTGCACCGAGACAGACAGACAGACAGACAGACAGACAGACAGACAGACAGACAGACAGACAGACAGACAGACAGACAGACAGACAGACAGACAGGAAACACAGCTTCAGATCAAAAAGGGGGAAGAGTTATTTACTACATTATCAGCTGTAGACACTGATACTTTGTCTCCAGTGATCAGCTGTTTGTGGGGCAGTCTGAGCTGGGGGTCAGGGGGAGGGGAGGGGGGGACAAACAGGGGTCTGTGGGGAGGGGAGGGGGGGGACAAACAGGGGTCAGTGGGGAGGGGAGGGGGGGACAAACAGGGGTCAGGGGGGAGGGGAGGGGGGGACAAACAGGGCTCAGGGGGGAGGGGAGGGGGGACAAACAGGGGTCAGTGGGGAGGGGAGGGGGTGACAAACAGGGGTCAGTGGGGAGGGGAGGGGGTGACAAACAGGGGTCAGTGGGGAGGGGAGGGGGGGACAAACAGGGGTCTGTGGGGAGGGGAGGGGGGGACAAACAGGGGTCTGTGGGGAGGGGAGAGAGAGAGAAAGAGACAAGGTTTTGGGGGGTGGGGGAGAAGTGTGTCAACAAGAGTTTGTGGGGTGGGGAAGCCCAGGTGGAGCTGGTTGGGGGGGGGGGGGGGGGGGGAGTGCTGGATGGCTTTGCTGCTGTGGGGGGGGGGCTTTGCTGCTGTGGGGGGGGGGGGGAGTGCTGCTGTGGGGGGGGGCTTTGCTGCTGTTTGGGGGGGGGGGGGGAGTGCTGGATGGTTTTGTTGCTGTGTGGGGGCTCTCACCTGGTTATCACTTGGGTTCAGAATTTCTTGGTGTCCTCTTCCTGTCTGTGGGTGTAGAGGATGAAGAAGACCAACGCCAGGACCAGGAGGAGGAGGAGGAGGAAGGGGATGAGCTCCAACATGGAATGCAAGTGCAGGGTCGGCATCACTCTCTCTCTCTCTCTCTCTCACTGACTTCAGCTCTGCAGCTCTCTCACTCCTCCATTACCAGTCTGTCCTTCCAACAGTTTCCTCCTCGTCATTTCCTTACATTGCCATTTGGCCACTGCCAGAGACATCTCCCTCTGCTGGAGACCTCCCTCTCCCTCTCCCTCTCCCCCACCTCCCCCCAGACCTGATCCCCTCTCTCTCTCTCTCTCTGTGTCTCTTACAGACACTTTCTCTCATTCATTATCAACTCATCATTACTGAGCTCATACAAACCCATCAAACAACACCAAGAGTGGGGCTAAACTACCACTGTTCCCCTCTATAAAGAATAAAGAAATACTTCCCCCCCCACTCCACCCCCCCCCCCCCCCACCACACACACACACACACACACACACAGTGTGATATAAAAAATAACATGTACTTTGCAGGAATGTTTTGTATAGTTTCTCCAGTTGGGGACCACCCCACCCATTGGGGGCTTTGGGTCGCAGGGTTAACTATCGGAGAGGAACGCCACCCTTCCCCCAGTGACTGGTCTGCCCTTCCAGGTCCCGCTAATGAGCCGGGCCGGGCCGGGCTGGGCCGGGGTCAGCGATGCCCTGGAACACTACGGATCCGCCCGGCTCAGGAAACAGCCCGGAGACCGCCACAGAGGGCTGGCTCGATTCCGACATTCCTGTGCCACGCACGTCACCTCGGAGCCGGTTCATCTCCAAGGAAACCCCTTTCGTTTTGAAACCGACTCAATCGGATTGCTATTGCTTCACGTTGCCTTCAGTCCTGCGAGCTCTGGACTGAGACTCTTTTTTTTTAATGGAAGTTTGCGTTTGGTGTGTTTTTGCAGCGTTGGTTGTGTTCATTTATTTAGGTAATTAATAGATAACTGAAAGGTGTTCCATGTGAAGCTTTGGAGAGAACTAATTGTGTATCAAAAGGGATTGATTTGATCAGTATTCATTTCTAATCACTTTTTATGAAGAATGTCTGATCAGTGTAAGGGAGAAACTGCAGAACTACTTTAAGAAGCAGCTTTGAAAAGTTACCAGAGAATCAAGATTCAGTGCGACTGAGAAAGCATCTGTCCAGTATGGCTAGAAATAATACCTGCGGTCTGGGACACTTCCCTCTGGGAGGGGCACTTTGTTGTAATAATACTGACATTTGATATAGCGCCTTATCACATCGTTGAGACATCTCAAAGCACTTCACAGACTACACTGTAAAGTGAATTGACTGTATTTTGTTGACTCATAAGACTCCCACGAATGGTATAACACAGGGAAGGTGATGAGGGAAATCCAACAGCACTGTGGACAAAGAACTTTTGTCTGTGGACAAAGGAATTTCTAACCAGTCCAGTGTTGAAGCACAATCGAATACTTCAGGTTAGCCAGTAAGAGCACTCTAAACCGGCTAAGACCTCATTAAACATGATTGCCAGGATATTGTGTACATCACTTAATGATACCGACATGGACTACTCGGGCCATATCACTTCCTGGTGCGTTTCTGTTTGTAGAAGCTGCAATGGATCGTGAATATACACCTGGGATTCAGTTGCATGCTACGTTCAGTTCATGATACGGAACCATTTTGCCTCGTTTCGTCCACAAAATGTACAGTATATTCCGTGAAGCGCTTTGAGACATCTCGAAGGCATGATAAGACGCTGTATCAAATACGATTATTATTATTTTGCCCCATACACATTATTACACAATAAATCTGGGTGCCACTGCTTCTGGGGGATGACAGGCAGAAGAGGGAAAGGCAGCAACAGGGTTCATGAAAAGGTCTTTTAAACGGACTGTCCAATCTGCAATAACGTGGTCTCCGAGCCACAAGAATCCAATCAATAATGGTAACTTTCTGCTGCTGTCAGTGTTGGCTTCTGAAATACAGCCTCTTCCTGGGGAGGAGAGGAGCAATCACAAGTCAAAGGTGGCAGACAGGAACTTTTGGCCTCTTGATTGTCCTTGTCCTCCCCGGGAAGAGACTTTAAGCTGTTGCTTCCTGGGAGGAGAGCAGACAGAAGCATATATCATACCAGTGGCATCAAACCTCTCTCCTCCATACTGAAACCCCTTTAGGTATTGGAGCACTTGTGTTCCAAAGTAATTGTACCACGAAGCTTGTGACCCTTCTGATAATTGTCAGTGGAGTGCGAGGCACCAGTTTTAGAACTGTATTTTAAGGAAGAAAAAAAACACATAGATTCAAGCTTTCCTTTTAATTGCTTTCCCCCACTCCAATATAGTTATCGCTCAGCACATTTCTTGTAGTTTCATCTGTTCAGAGATTTTTAAAAAATTTTACATCAGAAGTGCTCTGGGACACTACGCCATGTAAAGAGCGCTAAATAAAGGCAAGTTTTGTTGCTGTAGGTGTTCAGCTTCCGGTAAAACAAATCCTCCTGTGACACACTGGGCACTTTTCGTGAAGGAATAAATGTACTTTAATGTTTTAAATGATTCCTAGGCTCTATCAGCTCTCAGTCTCTTAGCCTTTTAGCGCATTGACCTTAAGATCCTTGTCCTGTTCTTGAAATCCCCTTACAATCTCATCCACCTCTACTCTATCCTAGAATTGCTTGGCTTGGCCTTTTTCACTCCGTCTTCAAAACCCCCTTGAAACATTATCTCTTTACAGTGCATTTGGTGAATGCTGTTACATTCTTTCATCCTCTCCTTCCCATCAACTCTTTGAAGCGCTTTAAGATTCTCATTCTTCATGGAGTCCTGTAGCTCAGTGGTTAGAGCACTCGCCTCACATTCAGATAATTTTGTTTATTTGTATAAAATATATTACTTCAAAGAGGCTGTACGAAACCCTGCATTGGCAACTCTTTTGGAAAGGGACAGTGAGTGAAGAAGGAAGAAAAGCACTGTCATTTTTATCTTAATGTCCCAATATTCCTGGTAATTGTCAATGGAGCAGTAGCACTCCCAAGACACACCTCATGTGAATGGCGCTATATAAATGCAAGTTGTACGTTACAACACGTACAACACATGCTGCAGCATCAATTTGGAAACAAATGAAAACAGGCTTGCGCGAGGTGCTGCCTCTTTAAATAAATTCTTTGCTTTTGCTGCCTCGATAATCTTGGGTAGTCAGTGGGAGCTCAGCATTCTCTTCCCCCCCAGTGCCTGTCGTGTGGCAATTGCAAGAACACTGACGATGAGCTTCCGATCCCAGGCAGTACCTTATAACAATACTTGTATTTGATACAATAATACTCCTTGCCTTATCACGTCTTCGAGTCTGAAAGCGCTTCACAGAATATATTGTAAAGATTGTGTATTTTGTGGGTGAAACCCGGCAGCCAATTGCGAAGAGCAGTGTTTCACCTAACACTCAAATACCCGCAGCTTCAGTTTGTTTTGTTTTAAATAAAATAACATTTATAAACATTCAGTCAGTCAATTTCAAGATCAGCGGGAAGAATATAAATGTTTGTGTTATTGTATTCAAAATGTTGTTTTTAAAAAAAACAGGAAGCTTTTCAGGATATACTGTACATAGGCAGAAAGTTCCTACACAAACATTGAGGAAACATCACAAAAATATAAGGCATTCCTGTGATATTTCAATAAAAAATGTTTCAGAATTTCATGGGAAAGGATAATGGAGAAAAAAAAGACTTTTAAATGATGAATAGACTCTGATGTTAGGACCCTTTTCAAGCTGGATAGCATTTGATACAGTACCTTACATTTTGAAACATCTCAAAGAGCTTTAATATTTTCTGTAAAGTTCAGTGACTATGTGTAAGTGAAAACAGCTGCCAATTTTCACATTGTCCTGCAAACAGACATGAAGGAAATGACTTGTTTTTAAAAAAAAAATCAGGGGAATTGTTGGCAGGAATATTGGGGGAAAATCCCCTTTCTCTTTCGAATTGTGCAAGGGGATCTTTGAAATCCACTTGATTTAACGTCTCATCCTAAGGACGCCACCTCCAACAATTCAGCATTTCCCCCAGTGCTGAACTGGCGTGTCGGCTCAAAAGCTAACAGCTCAAAGACAAGCTTGGGACTTGAATCTACATCCTGTGACTCAAGAGGCAAGAACGCTACCAACTGCTTAATGAACATCCTTCCATCTGAATGCAAAAAGCAGTTATGCATCTGGAGCAATCGATTGTTCCGAACCTACAGTCTAACAGGAGAAAGGAGTCATCCTTTTCACAATAAGGAGCAGCAGCTCGAAACCATGTCGCTTTCCGTTCCATCAAACGTAAAGTGTCTTTGTTCATCAGAAAAAAACCACAACACGAGGGGCAACAACGCTTCCAAGGTTAATTTATAGACTAAAATACCCTCTGACACTCAGCGTTAGGCATGTGAAATGTATGACCTTCAAACACTGTACATCCTAGAATTTTACAGCACAGAGGAGGCTATTCAGTCTAACTTGCTGTGCCAGCTGTATGACATCTCAATATTTAGTCCCACTCCTGTCCTTCCCACAAATCCTTTTATATCTTAAATATTTGTCCAATTCCCTTTTAAAACCTATGATGAATTCTCCGAATTCTGGCTCCTCCAAGGACCAGGTTTTGCTCAACATAAAATCCCTCTTAATTTAGGCTTCCTTGCTTCACACCCCACCTTTCAATTTAGTATTGAATATAAATTACTAACCAGGAGGAAATATAAACACACATTATACAAACACTGATCATGCCTGCAGTTGGCAATCACCTTCAAGACTGTTTCAGTCCCAACCCAATAAATGTTGTTACATACATTTACATAGACAAAAAAATCTGCACACTTAAATATAAACATCTCTGCTGTACAAAAATTAAATAATATGTCTTCTAGCTTTGAGCTACACTTTGAACACGAGTGGCTTAGTTTCTAAACTGCGTAAACAACAAGAGGTATATTTTATAAATCCCAAGTTAGGCCGAGATGCAAGCTGCATAAAAAACGTCTTCTAAGCAGCCACTAGTTTTCCAATAGTATTTCTGTGCGACTGCACAAGAGTCTCAGTGCAGCAGCAATGCAAAAGAATGATGCAGTCTCTGCGAGCCATGGATTCAGGCACTCAAAGAATTGACCAATAATCCAAGAAAACTTGTGCACTGACAGACAGGATTCCTACCAAAAAACACTGACAGTCAGCTGACCAAGCAAACTGAAGTCAAATTCGAACTCCTCGTGCCTCCTGGCATTCCACCTAACAAGCACCAGACGGCTGTTTGAAAGTCCTCATGATGTCACAGATCAGCTCGTACCAGAAGAAGATTAAGCCAGTGGAGACGGAGGCTTTTAGCATGCTGGGGGTCAGGCCCTTAAAGAAGCCTCTTGAGCCCTCCTCTTTCAACACTCGAAATGCACAGTCCCAAAAGCCCTTGTATGTCCGCACCTGAAGGTAGTAAGGTCATGTGTATTAAATGTATGCACTCTCTCTCTAGCATTGTTTGATGAGGAACAGAGGAATATACAGAACTTGAAACTTGTCAGTCAGACCTGCACCACATTCCTGGACATCAACTATCCTGCGACCATCACAATTCGCCTCACAATACGTACAAAATAAAGATTTTAACTAAATGTGGTATATTATAAACTAGACATAAAACAGAACGCACCCCAATAAGAACTCCCAAGTTTCCATTCCCAATGTGCACACAGTGCTGGGCTGGGATACGCTGTGTGAAGCCTCACCTGTCCAAAAGCAGCTCGTGCCTGCTCAAAGCCGCCCACCTGCAGCCTCTTCTTGAGGAGATCGAAGGGATACGTTAGTGTTTTACTGATGATACCGGCACAGCTCCCGCACACCAAATTCTGCACATAACCTGATAACAAAAGAAGAGAGTTAAAGCAGATGCTCTCCACATCCACCTTGCTCTCTCCATGTATATATAGAACATTATTATATATATATCTATATATAGTTATCTATACACACACAGAAGAACATCATCCCTGATGAGTTTTTCATCACAAATATGATCTTAAAATTTATTTCTGTAATGTACTCTCAAAATGCAGCCATTTGTAAGTCTCCTTGACTTGGATGTCAGATGCAACCACAATGTTAACATAGCACAAAGCTCACAGTATGCGTGGTAGGACTAAGTGGGCGTTGGTCGCTGATCACTCAGTTCAAATCAGAAACTCTTCTAGGAGATTACTGACATCAAGAAGCTAAGATATAAGGTATGGAAATTGTAGGTTACGAGGTTAGATTCAGGGAGCTAAGCTGGATAAAGAGATGACTGTGAGAAGACTCTTTTTTAGAAAGCTCCTCGCTAGTGATATTATTCACACTATTAATCCATTCAAACTCTCTATCAACTTGCTTGCCCACAGCCAAAATTATAAAACAAGCAGCCTGCCAGTCAGACCCACCAGCCCTGTCTTTGGGACCCACCCCCAGCTTGTCAATTCCTTCCTCACTCCAGGGCTCCCACCTCCACTCTCAAGACTGGCCATAGCCACAGACCTTGGGGAGCACAATAGGCTGAAAATCCCTGTTTGTGTCCTACTCCGGTATGATACCCTCCAGATTATTTCACTGAGTCTCACTCACTCGAATTTGTGCCTTCCTGCGACATGGCCCACTGAGCAATACGGTGAAAGATGTTGTAAAAACCAAACTGGAGCCCGGCGTAGGGGAACACCGCGACAGTGGTGGGAGTGAGACCTCGATAGAATCCCAGGGGGCCCTCTTTCCTGTACATGGTGACCACTGCACTCCTGAGACTTCTGTACACCTGAAATTTCAATAAAACGCACATAATCTCACAACTCCTCTCATGCAAGAGGAGTTGTCAGATTCGTCAGACACTCGTCAGATTCATTTATTTCAAAAAATGTTTATCTTCCTATACCCTTCCAAGCCTATCCTTAACCCCCGTAAGGTTCAGCCCCAGTTACTCTGTCAACCTAAAGATGCCACAAGAAGTCATTCGATTGAAATTCTTGAGCCAGGAATCCAATCCAAAGTGAGAGGGACTGATTGTCCATTGCTTTGGGATGTCCTCCTGACGTAAAAAGGGCAATACAAGTGTAATTTGTTGCTCTTACCCAATGTCCAACAGATCAACATTTCAGCCGGTGTCGGTGATAGCAAACAGCAGTGCAAACACTGGGGGCTTTTTCTCTCCTGCTCTCTTGCCGTTGCCTCCCCTCCCTCAGGTGGGGCTGAACCCAGATAGAGCTGCCCTGGTTGTGATACATTTAGAATGTCAGGGCCCCATTCCACAGCCAACATTCACTGATAGGATTCCTTCCCACACACCCTCAACTAACATTCAGCATCATTAGCCACCGCCACGTCTTGCCATCATGCTTCTATAATAATAGTAATCCTTGCATTTGATACGTCTTCGAGATGTCTCAAAGCGCTTCACGGGATACAGTGTAAAGTGAATTGACGGTATATTTTTTATATTGCTTACCTTGGGCTCTCCCTGTGCGATGAACCGTGTGCGTAGGGTATCCAGCGGCTGAACAGCAAAGGTTGCCGTGCAAGCTGCCAAACCGCCGCACAAAAAGTGCATGCTGGGATTCCTCGTGTCATAGGGAGTAGCTTGGTGGATAAATCGAGTTAAACTCTCGAAACTGACAAACTGGAAAAAGAAAACAAAATCAGTCCCAGACAGAGCTTTAATTTCCTATTTTCAAAATAAAAATTACGCTGCAAGGATCATAGGGAGGCCATTCGGCCTATCGTGCCTGTGCCGGGTCTTTGGAGAGTTATTCCATCAGGCCCACTCCTCCCACCATAACCCTGCATATTTTTTCCCTTTCAAGAACATTTAATATGAAAACAGGTTATAATAAGATAATGCAATTGGATGACTCATTCACAACACCCAACAGGTCCAAAGGAAGCACCCACTAACTCTAAGTAATTAAATCGAAAGTCACATGGGAATGACTTCAGAGCTCAGGTTGTAATAAAAAAACACCTGTTGATCAAGTTGCAGATTTGAACTTCATCAGCCACAATCTCCTGGTCCTCTAACTCACACTTACACAGTTGCTCTACAAAATGTACCATTCAAGATATGTGATCAAAACCCAGAAACCTGCTATTCTCTGCATAAACTAAAATGTATGGCATTACCCAGTTTAAAATGCAAAACAAAAGAGCAAAAATAATACTTAAAAGTAAAGCACAATTTCGTTTTTCAGAAGTATAGCTCAAAAGGACCCAGGAGAGAAAAACTCATCCAATCTTGACCTGTGCTGCTCCGTAAGCGATGGAAAGAAGCTGGGCGGGAACGTGACCTTTCCAGAATGCCCGGATTGACTCCTCTTTCAGAATTGTCTGTGTGGCATGCAATAGACCTTGATATTTAGCCTTTGGGTTCTGAGGCGACAACTGTTCAATTTGAAGCTGGTGGAAAAAGAACAACGAAAACACGAGTCATTGCATAGCCTGATTGATTGATTCACAAAGCGTTAGTCAAACATATACCTAAATACATTTTCCTAAATTTACCTACGGACTTTGCTGCATCTCACCACAGAGTATATGTTTGCGATCTGAGAATGTTAACTAATAAACAATTTAGAGCAACATCACAATAGACAACCGTTTCCCAAATTGGTTTGATCACATTGCAGGGCTATGTGGAGTCCTGTATCTCAGTGGTTAGAGCACTCGCCTCTCAAGCGAGAGACCTGCCTGGGTTTGATTCCTGGCAGGGCGAAACCTTGGCCAAGTTTCCTTGCTCCACACGCCTGATAATAATCCCTCAGGAAAAACAAAAACAATAATAAACTGAGGACTTCAAGCCACGACTGTTTGTGGGACACTGCTGTGCACCATTGGCTGCCGCATTTCACCCACAAATATACAGTCAATTCATTTTACAGTATATTCCCTCCCATCTGACAGTTTCTCTTTGTCTTACATATTTTCTCCCCTCAAATATGTGCCTTTCTCTCAAATATCCTTTCCCCCTCCCTTGGCCCTCCATGACACAGGGTTAAACTCCCTTTTCTTCTTCAAACAGTGCCACTGTATCTTTAACATTCAAATAGTCAGATGGGACTTAGAATCAAAGAATTATACAGCAGAGAAGGCGGAGAGTCGGCCCATTGTGTCTGTGTCGGCTCTTTGAAAAGAGCTTCCACTCCCCCGCGCTCTTCCCATAGCCCCGCAAGGTTGTCCTCCCAAAATAATTATCCACTTCTCTCTTAAACGTTGTATCAAATCGGCTATATATATATATATATATATAGATATACACACACATATATATAATAATAATCCTTGCATTTGATACAGCGCTTTTCACGTCTTCTCGACGTCTCAAAGCGCTTCACAGAATATGTTGTAAAGTGAATTGACTGTACATTTGTGGGCGAACACGGCAGCCAATTGCGCACAGCAATGTCCCACAAACAGTCGTAGATTGAAAATGACCAATTTATTATTGTACATATATACCCACAGACACACACACATATATACACACACACATATATACACACGGATATATATATATGCGCACACACACATACATATATATATGTGTATATGCGTATATATATGTATATGTATATATACACACACATATACGCACACATATATATACACACACACATATATACACACATATACACGCACATATATACACACATATATACACACACATATATACACACACACACATATACACACTCACATATACACACACTCACATATACACAGATATATATATATATATATATAGACACAGCCGCCCGGGCCGGGCCGGGCCGGGTCGGGTCGGGCCGGTTCCAGGTGTCTGAGGGGGACGGCCCTACTGTGTACCTGGAAGCGGATCTTGATGACATCCAGCGGGTTGATGATCGCCCGCGTCAGGAGCCCCGACAGGGAGCCCGCGGCCACCACCTCCGCCAGAGACAGGCAGCGCTCGGCCTGGGCCGCCCGCGGGTCATAGCCGACCATCGTGTCCCTGTGCTGCCCTGAGGCCGAGGCCAAGGCCCGCGGCCGCCTCCGACCTTCACCGACCGACCGCTCAACCCGCCCGAGAGCGCGCGCGCGGGGAGAGGGAGAGGGCGAGCCCGCCCACCGCGGCCGCGTCTGATTGGCAGTCAAACCGACCAATCACAAGAGACGGTTGGACTCTCCACCAATCAGAGCGGCGAGAAACGAGCGGCTCTCCACCAATCAGAGCGCGGCGAGCGCCACTCGGAATAGCTGGAGCCAATCAGAGCGACCGCCTCGACAACGCCCGGGACACGTGGGGGAGCGACTGTCCAATGGACGCGCAGCTTGTGGCGGGTCCCGCTCACGTGACCAGTCAGTGGCCGCTGGTGATGAGCAGTGACGGCCCTGAGGTGTTAGTGCTGAAACAATAATATATTAATACTACTACTAATAGTACTAATACTAATAATAGTACTAATACTACTAATAGTACTAATACTACTAATAATAAAAATACTATTACTAACTATTACTAATACTCATAATGCTACTAATACTACTAGTAGTAATAATACTAGTAATAATACTAATACTATTACCACTAATACTACTACTAGTAATAATACTAATAAAAATACTAATACTAACTACTAATACTAATAATGCTACTAATACTAGTAATAACATTAGTAATACTGCTAATAGTAATAATACTACTACTAGTAATAATTCTTGCATTTGTGTAGCACCTTGTCAAACCTTCAAGACAACAGCTTGCACTTACATTGCGCCCTCCACGCAGGGTCGCGGCTCAGCGCTTAACAGTGGCGCAGCCCGACTCCGACCCGGTGGTGGGGGTGTTGGGGGTTGTTGGGGGTGATGGTGGTGTCGGGGGTGGTGGTGGTTGGTGGTGGTGGTTGGTGGGGGTTGGTGGGGGTGTTGGGGGTTGGTGGGGGTGTTGGGGGTTGTTGGGGGTGATGGTGGTGTTGGGGGTGGTGGTGGTTGGTGGTGGTGGTTGGTGGGGGTGTTGGGGGTTGGTGGGGGTGTGGGGGTTGGTGGGGGTGTGGGGTTGGTGGTGGTGTTGGGGGTGGTGGTGGTGTTGGGGGTGTGGTGGTTGGTGGGGGTGGGTGGGGTTGGTGGGGGTTGTTGGAGGTGTTGACCACACGCACGGTCAGAGAGGAAGGTTTCTGGGTGGAACTTGAATTGACTGTATATCGTGTGGGCGAAACGCGGCAGCCAATTGCTCACAGCAGTGTCCCACAAACAGCCGCGGATTAAGTGACCAAATTATTATTTTTACATTTGAGAAGGATAATCCTCGGCAAAGTGATCCGCCGATCGACTAACAGCTGGGTTCCTACTGACTGCCGGGCGATCAGGTGCGCGGATTCAGGAAACTTGCCCAACGTTTAGCCCTGCCGAGAATCACACAAAGCATGAAAGATTGCAACAAAATAGGCAGACCAGAGAGTAGTAGGGCAACAACTTGCATTTACATAGTGCCCTTCACGAGGGGCAGTGTCCCAGACCGCTTGACTGTTGCGGAGTCTGACCGCAAGAACCTTTCCCCCACTTTGTTCTGCGGTATTAACCCTGCTTTGTTGTAACCCCCTTTGTTTTGCATCGTTAACAGCTTTTTAACACATCATCCTCTGCTCCATTTTCTCCTTTTGTCTTCCTTGCCCTTCCTCCCTCCGCTCTGTTAGCGCTTAGAAGCCTCTCCCTCCCAATAAGCTCCATTTCTGACGAAGGGTCGTGGACCTGAAACGTTGACTCACTTCTTCATAGTCAGTCGCCTGACCTGCGACTTCTGTTTTTGTATTCTGCGATTCAACGACGTCATAAAGCGCTATATCAAATGCAAGGATTATTAGTATTAAAACTGCAAGACTTGGTCATAAATTGGTAACAATAGTAAACATATATATGCTTATATATGTGTTTATATATATAGTAAATAAATATATAGTCTGAAGTTTTTTTGGTAACCAGGCACTTTCTTGACATAATTTACACCCATCCATAAAGATACTTATCTTCTCCAAAGACACATCACATAGTACTGTAATTGACAAAGGACAGCAACATATAAATAGAACAGCTCCTGAAATAAAAACTTTAATTCACATAAAAATAAACATTTCAAAGCACTTTACAAAAATAATCAATAGAATTGAAATTAACATTAATAATCTTTGCATTTGAAATATAGGCAAATCCACGTCCACGTCAGCCAAGTCTCATTAACGATGAGATAAGCAACCAATTAATTTAAATAGTTAAATTTGGAATATAATTTGACTGGATATTAATTGACAGGATATTATGAACCAGTAATCAAACAAATCTTCATTTAGGAACACAGGATTAGGAGCAAACCTATTGTGCCTGTCTTGGAATAAGCAACTCACCATTTTTTCTCCATAACCTATGAACTCTTTGAACGACTCTGTTCCTAGTTCCCTTTGTTCATGTGTTACACAATTTAGCAAAACTTTCCCCTCTGATTTGAGGGTTCCTCCTGACATGAAAGGCGCAATATCAAATGTAATTTGTTTTTAATATAATGTCCAAAGTTCCATAACTTTCCATTTTGCCACATTGAGCTGAATTTTGCATCAGTTTGTCACTTTACAATGTCTTTTCTTGTGTCCTGCTTTGTTCACCGTCTACTATATCTCGTAGTTTAGTGTCATCTGTAAATTTAGATTTTGACATTGAGGGTAATCCTTGATGGATACCACTTGTCACTGCCCTCAAATCAGATATCCTATTTTTCTGCCATCCAATATCTATGCTTAGGTTATCTCCAAATCCATGTCCCTTCATTTTAATCTATTCGGTAGTTTATCAAATGCCTTCTAAAAATTCACGTAGATGTCTATTGATCCTTTTCGATCTACCACCAAGCAATTTTGTGAAATCATTCTATTTCATTATCCAAAACTAAAACTAAAAAAAAAACAATAATAAATTGGTCATTTTCAATCTCCGACTGTTTGTGGGACATTGCTGTGTGCAATTGGCTGCCGCGTTTGCCCACAAATATACAGTCAATTCACTTTACAGTGTATTCTGTGAAGCGCTTTGGGACGTCCTCCCGACGTGAAAAGCGCTATATCAAATGCAAGGATTATTATTATTATTATTATTAAGTGATAATGGGTCAGACCACTCTCTTAAAGCTTCAGATCCCATCTCCCACATTAGTTGTCCAGCTTACTACTTAAGGTAAATAAAAATCTGCAGCCTATCCAGTTTACTCAGTTTAGTTCAGGGTCATACCAATGGTGTCTTTTCTGCCTCAATGCCATTCCTGCATCCTTCTATTTGAAATAAGAATTGAAGTTTTTACATCTATCTTGCTCAGTGTGGAGTGGATTCCATTTGAGTATGTAATTGTGTAATGGTTTATTCCATAGTTTAAATCTTTACAAATCAAGTTTACTCTCCAAATTACATTTATCAGGTTTTCCCAAATTAGAATTCCGTACCCAAGTTCAATAGATGCAGCATTCCCCGGAGCCCATCCATAATACTATGTATATAAAGACATACAAGTTCTTTTGTGCAGTGATCATTCGCTGTTCAATAAAGATTCAAAACAAATTACCTTCAAACTGAAATTCCTTTATACCTTTTCACTCAAGCCTACAATAGGGCCCATGAGTGGATTAATGAAAGCCAGAAGACCTCATCAAGAATACACAGCGTTTATTATTCAGTTAATCTCTACCTACCAAATGCATCGAGAATCAGGGATAAGTACATAGGCCTTTCCATTTTAACATTGAATTTGTTTTTATATATACACATGAAATGTCTGCAAGGCTTATGATTATACACCAATTTAAAAAAAGTAAACAATCAAATGGTCCAGGAGCCATATGTATCTTTCATACAGTTCAATAGTTCAGGTGACAGTGTGCAGAGGAAAGCTTCAACTCAGTCAACTCATTTCTTGGTTTCCGCAGTGTAAGGCAGAATCAAACTCATAAGGAAATTATAGATCCTTTAAACTGGACTTAAGAAAACAATGCTCGATTTGGGATAAATAACAGCACAGCCAAATCTCAACATGTGCCTTTCTGCATCTAATTGATCAGTAGTATTTCTGTCAACACTATTCCTGGAATGGTATAACATTTTAGAATTCCTGACCAGATATTAAGCTTGATCTATGGTCATCGCTGAGTCTGATATCCTTTTGTTAAGCCATTTCTTGGGCAATTCAATGGGCAGCTGTGGTTCCACATTCATTTGGAACTGGGTTCAGTCTTGCTTCACACAAATTGCTTTAACAGAGGGAAAATGCATCCCATCATTTGGGCTACATTTGAATACAACAAGAGGTGAAGGACAGAGAATTGATCCATCGAACCGTCCAGTTTCCTAACTTCAATGCTCATCGGGTATTCTGGCACATATTGACATAGAATATACAATTCCAAACAATGCGTAACTAGCAGGTGTTTCAAGTAAGCCCACACTTGAAGCACGAGGATATTAAATGGCACTAATATTGCATTTGATTGTTTTGGGGTTGCAAATACCAGCCACAGAAGAGATCCCAATCCAGTTTGTATACAATATTGCACCACGTTCATACCACCAGATAGAATAATATACAAATCAGTTAGTTGGCTTTCAATTAATTACTTACAAACTTCTATTTTAACCATCAGAGCCTAATTTCTATTGCAAATTAGGACTCTGATAATTTTCAGGTAGGTGGTAATTGCTTCTCCAGGTTATTGTTGTGAGGATTGGACCACATTTGTCATTAAGGCACATTATTGAGATTGGACAGTGCTGGGGATGGGGCCACTTTCCTGATTCCTCAACAAATGATTCAACTTTTGAGCAACTTCAGTGCTGACAAATACAGGAGTCTCGCAGCAATAAATACACAAGCTGCTCTCTTCACAATCTCATATATTTTAATGTCATTTTGCTACTTCATTTACAAGCACAGGAAGAGATGGAAAGAGATCAGCTCGCAGCAGCCAAATATCCACTGGATTCAAACACACAGAGACCAAATGGATGAACACGACCAATTCTACAGACAATGAAATGCTGGGTGCAGTCACTGTCACCTCATGGCGAGCTGACAGTGTTCCAGGCTGCTGTTAACTGCTCCAGTTCCACCTGCTCCTCTGCACTGTTCTGCTCCTCTTGTTTTTGGCAATTGGTCACAAGGATCTGGGAGTTTGTTGCAAACTGTGCTTCCCCGAGACAATGGATGTGCAAGGTCCTGGGGGCTGTCTCTAAATGGGTACTTGTGGACATTGTTAAAACTATGGATAGTCTGGAACTAATAGCCACCCTTTAATCAACACAGATAGTACAATTAATACCATTACAAGTGGAGTCAGAATAGGCTGGGGTTCCCCGACATGTCCACGGTAACTTCTACAGCTACTAGGTGCACATATTTTCCAGTTTTGCAGCAGATGCTGATGACAGTATCTGTGGTACCAAACTACATTTCCATATATTCCTCTTGGGCTGCCTACAATGAAATTCTTCTGTTCACGCCTCTCATTGTGGTGCTCGGTTCGGTTGAGAGCACATTCTCCCAGGACCTTGGTACCAGTGTTGGTGGGTGCTCAGCTCACAGAACACATTTGCTGCAGGGCAAGGATGACTGTTAGATTGTCCTGCCCTTAACTCCACGGTGAGACAGACTGTCATCAACCAGTCTGACGCTGTGCTGGGATGGGAGTGCCAGAATGTCTTGGGGTTCCAAACCTGGAATAACACTTTGTAAAGTAGATCCCGGACCTTCAATATTACAAGATGCCACAGAATATAATTTCAAAGCCACACATATGGATCTCCCCGCCAAGGTTACAAGTCACACATTTAGTTTCTGTGGTGCAACTTGGCAGCCCAAGTAGCAGTGTGGCATTTGCCTGGTTTGATCTCAGCCTTGTGAAGACATGTGTTAACAGTAGCACATCACATCACCACTCTACCTTCAAACAAATGTGGAAACGAACCCACACCCTGCAGATTCTCCAAACAGTATTCGGAGGGACAACTTGGCTCTAGGACAGATTTCCGGATTCGAGCAAAATAAAAAATAGGACTGAACCAACCTTTTTATATATCTATATATAAAAGCAAGAAAAGGCAGCTTTAAACAAATTGTTGAGCAAATAAACCACTATATTTCTCAGTAATGTCATCAAATGGTTCATTCAATTAAAAAAAATTAAACTCCATCATACAAGGTGGCTTGGGTGAAACTGCACAAATCCTTCAGAAATATTGAAACGCCATTGCTATTATTTCTTTATAAATAAGCCGGATGAGAGGTGTGCTGTACAACATACTGCACCTCTGTCAATGCAACTGGCTGTGAAGAAGTTGCAGTTATTTTAAAAACACTGCTGCCACATTCAGCAACTTGGAAAAACAAAGAACATAAAAGAGCCCCAGTCATAATGTCCAGGTTATGGTAATACCTGGGTTTGGGCAGTATCAGAAATTGCCACTCTTCAGATAGGATCTGAATTACAGGAACACAAAAACTAATAGAGGTTCCTAGAAGGAGAAACCATTGTGGAGTATCTTGCGTAATTATTCTGAAATCACTTGAACACTCCAGCAATCAGCTTTGCCCACTTCAACACACATTACATCAATTACACAATCTCTCCAGCACTACCAGCTTTGATGCCACTACATCCAGGGCCTTTAGATAGAAATGAATTAATTCACAAGAGCATTTAACTAGATCAAAGCCTTAGTGTGGATTGAGCAATCATGCTGGACATATGCAGTAAATAAGGACAGAATAAAAGTTGATTAAAAAATGTTTCCTCTGTTAATTCCACCCCTAAGACCTACTTAGGGGTTGAAACTCAATAGGTTTGTGCCTGAATCAGCCAGAGCAGAATCAAGAGAGAAAAAGTTGCATCTGGATTGTGCATGGTGGATTTAACAGAACCAAAGACAAAAATTAAAGGCACTATGAAGACAAAATTCAGAAAGTGCTCAGCCATACACCTTTAAGACCATAAGCCAACCTCATCTTTAAACCCTAAACATGCCGTTGTTAAAAGCAAGTTGGGTTATTCTTTAAAATTACAAGTCATCTGACAATTTATACACATTTCCTATAGCTGCTAGCTGTTAAAAGGAAATTAGGACAAGCTAATCAACATAATTTTTTACAAAAACAACAAAAATAAAAGCAAGAATTCTGTATCCGAATGCACAAAGGCCAAGACTGATTTTTCTTTAAAGACCCAAGGCAAAGAAAGCGTTACTGACCTCTGGTCTGTTACATTGCTGATAAGAATATCCAACATTGCATAGGGAAAAAAAACATTAAATTCTACAACAGGATTAGAGTAATGGAATTAACTCATGCACAGACTGACAGGGGAGGAGAGAAAGGGACCAGCTGTGGGAGTCTATTGTAAAACCGCTCAGCTTTTTTTTAAAATTTGTTTGGCGCTCTAGTTTGAAGTTCCATACAGATTGCAAAGTTCACGGGATTGAGAGTTTTCAGTATCTCCACTCTGGACTGCTTTCCATCAGATATTTCTGTTGACAGGGGTAACGTAATTGCGAGGGAACATGCCGGTCTGCGCGTGGCAAGCACCCTTCCACCAGTTGGGGTCTGAGTTATCAAGCACTTGGATGAAATCTCCACGGCGAAATCCAAGCTCCCCGTCCTCTTGTGGGTCAAAGTCGAACAGTGCCTGTACGTATGTGGGTTGCTGGAAGAAGAAATAAGCGGGTTAAAATAAATAATAATCCTTGCATTTGATATAGCGCCTTATCACGTCTTCGAGACGTCTCAAAACGCTTCACAGAATGTATTGCAAAGTGAATTAACTGTATATTTTGTGGGGTTATTTGGGATAGTTTATACTTCTTATAACATTTCAAAAACCTTAATCTCTATGGGAATATTGAGAAGCTGAGCTGGAATTGGTTCTGATACCCTGGAATAAACAGGCCTGCAGTACTCCAGGCCACAGTTGAATACAACCCAGCTCAACCATGCATTTGGGAAGGTTAGCATGTCTCCCTAGGGATAGAATTCTGTCCACTTGTCTCTGAAAATAACTGAGAGTAAAACATCCATACCGGATGGTCCAAACTCGATAAACAGCAGGAAGTGTAACATCGCACACACTTGTGTGCTGCCTCATTTAGCTGGTTCACTTGCAGTAGTGGGCCAGTATGCACTTTGGGACCCCTAATGCTTTGGCCTCTGTAAGTTAGACATGTCTCTAGGAACGCACTCCATGTATCCACCACTTCCCTTTTAAACATACCATTATGCCTGTACATCTTTCTGGGAGGGGAAGGAGGAAGAAAAATTTGAATTCTTAGAAAACCCAAACTGCTGATATGAGTGCATAGTAGCTAGAGCAGGAACCTCAAGCACAGTATGAAGATTCCATGTGTTGAAAGAAAAATTGGTCACTCAATCCACGACTGTTTGTGGGACACGGCTGTACGCAATTGGCTGCCGCAAATTGCATACAGCCAATTCAGTATACGGTATATTCTGTAAGACGTAATAAGGCGTTATACCAAATCAAGGATTATCATTAAACTCCTAGCCATTGCCCTCTCCCCTTCCAAAAAGGCTTGTATGCTCATTGTTTTTTCCTCCTTTCCCACTTTCACTGCTCTTTATTTATCCACATTAAATAATTCTGCCACATTTTCAACCTAACCAACTATCTATTCAGATCCTTCTATATTTGGTCTGCCTATGTTTTTGTGACATCAGATGGGCATTTGTAATTCTGCATCTATACAGTTCAACTGGCTGCAGAAACATTCTGCCACTTGAACTTTGTTCCCTTTCTTCCCCAGCCTTGCAAGTCGCCTTGTCTTACCTGTGGAACCTGTTCAATGTCACGCAGGAAGATCTGCTGGTTCCGAGAGACTGATGTGGATCTGTGATAGTCCACCAGCTCATTCAGAGAGTTAAACTTTACTACCCACAAAAAGTACTTTCCAGCTCCATCCCGCAGTACTTTGAAATGCTGTACATCATTCCCAAACCTAGAAGAGACGGAGAAAGGACAACCCTGAAAATCATTCAGTTACATAGGAAACAAACTTTACAACACTAACTACACTCGGGTTCTGCAGCACAAAAAAAGGTCTACATTCATAAACCGAATACTTGAGAGTATTCAAAAACAATTTTAAAAGATTAGCAAGGAAGCGACCAAGATCAGGATCAATGTCTGCAATGCCAATCCTTTATAAAACAGCTAGGCGGCAGCATCGAGCTACGGTTTGAACTTTCTTCCCATTTCTGAGAAAGTCAAGTCACAGGAATATTCTATACAAATTTTCCAATATAAAGTTTCCTTGGCTGAGAACTACAGAGTATAATAACCTGTGTCTCGCTCTTGTTACACATCACATCTTTTTCATGGTTTTATACAGAAAAAGAGACTTGGAAAATAACCTGCCTCCACAGAGACAAATGGACAACTAGTGGTAGTGGGTGGAGAAAGAACGATTGGAGCCAGGTGGCAAGAGAATAAAAGGCCATATAGTTCTACCATTTCTCTGCTCTGAAATGGACAACTCTTGCCGCATTCTGCTCTACCCACTAGCCCAGGCGATAGACTGGACATTAAGCAAGAATTTACATTTTAAAACACTTTCTACATCAAAGTGCTTTACAATAAATGTCACATGTAGTGACTTTGTGTACGCAGTCATGGCAGGTATTTTACACACAGTAAGATCCCAGCTGTGAAAAGGACAGCCAATTTACCTATACAATAGAAGAACCTTATGTTTTTAAATTGTGTGATAGGATCTATAATGTCTGCTAGTGAGTGTTGTAAAGCTTGAAGAACAGCCAAACAGGCAAGCGTGCTGCCTACCAGAATTGCGAGCTAGGTGCTGGACAAGACCAGTTACTTACTTGACTGAAAGTGAAAAGTCCCCGGGAGCACTTTCACTTTCCCGGATCAGGAACGCACCGTCATGTCTCTGCTTGCTGAGGAGTTCCTCTGCCTTTGCTCTGGAGATTTTGCCAAAGAACCACCTGCAAGAGGAAATGAGAAATTGATTCTGCTTTGTGGGTTGTGATCAACATCACTCTAGAAAGTATTAGTTATTGCTCAGGCATTTCTTACTGCCCATTACTAATATTACAGCTGCTGTAATGGTTTCCGACACAACAAGTTAGTCTTTCAAGGCATTATGTAATTGTACCATCGTGTGGAGCCCAGACATTTCACCAAAAAAGGAAGGTTATTCAGAATAACAAGACCTTGGCTACGCTCACTGATTGCTCATCCGCTGCTTCAGGAGCAGTACTGAGAGAAACTCGGGCCCAATTCACTTCTCTTCATGGGGACAGTCAACCCAGCAAAGAGGAATAAAAATACTTAAGAAAGAAATTTCAGCATGTAGGTCATTTAGAACATCAGGCCTATGTTGATGCTAGCTGATCAACTGGTACCAACCACTTTAATCCAAATTCCGAGCTCTTTCCTTCCACACTTTTTATTTATCCTCTTCAAAGGTTAGCCCAGTGATGTCAATTTTTAATGGTAATTGCTCTGTAAAAGGCACTTAGAAGAAAATGAGCAGAAAAAAATAGTTGTGTCCATTTAGTCCTCAGCCAAAGTAACTGGACCTGAATCTAATTTTAGGACTCTATACTTCAATTGATACTGAACAGAAGCAGAAACAATCACCAGACTTAAAAGGTTTTCCCCGGCCTCTGCAATGGGTAAAACCCTTTCACATTAAAACAAATCAGTTTCACCAATAATTCACCCATTTTAGAAAAGCCCCAATATCAGACGGAGGAAAGTGACATTGTACATACAAACAAAGCCACCTTACAGCACTGCAACTCTCTCCCCCCTCCCCTACCACACCATGGGATAACTTGCCAACACTTAAAATTCACCTGCAAATAAAAATCACTTGGAAAAGGTGCCAGAGGGCAAGCTATGTCCGTGAACCCGGAAAGGAACAGAAACAAGCTCAAATTCTTTCAGGTAGAGAAGTGAGGGGAAAAATAAAAAAGAGTAGACAAATTATATTTTTAACTAATATAAAGGCAGTCAGAGAGACAAGATTGTAATTAATGTGCTCACAAAGTGCTCCACTCCTGGGAGTGAGCCAAACATTAAAGCAACTTATAAAAAGAACGGTTACTTTTTTTAAAAAAATGCATTAAAAGGCGAGGATGTGGTACAAATACATAATTCTGGCATTTTGCCCTGCTGAGAATCGAACCCAGGTCTCTCGCTTTCGAGGCGAGTGATCTAACCACTAAGTTATAGCATTTTATATACAGGTGCCATATCCAAATGCGAGGATGATTATTATTATTATTAGTGCTATTATTATCTCTCCCCGTCCCCACAGCTTGAGGATTTCTCTAGCCAGGAGGATACGTCAGGCCAATTTCGCAGACAAAAGGGTCAATTTGCCAGGCAGTAGATGATCACTCTCATGTCCATATCGACAACGTTGAGGTGTTGAGTGCCACCAGGCAGCCGGTGAACTGCTGAAGTCCGGATCTGCATCTTCTTTAAGTACACATCGGTTACGTGCTGTTGTTCATAAACAAATGCTTGTATTCTGCGGCATACCCACCCTCCATGCCCACAGCAAGTGGCTTAGGAAGAACATTCCACAAGATTTCTAATCAGTCACATCAGTTTAACGGTGTCAATCCCACTTGGGATTGTACTGATCTATTATCAGTCCAGTACTTTAATTCAGCCACAACAAAATGAATTTATATAGTGCCCTTCATGCAGAATAGCATCTCAGAGCCACAGTGCTGCATGGTGCTACAGTATTAAAACCACAGCAAGTATTGAGTTACAGTACACTATTCGGATCTATAGAATTAGGTTGGAAACTGTTAGGTCTGTGTTAACTGTGTTAGGTGCATTGTTGGAGCATGGTCAGAGCATTGGTTGCAGAAAGACTAACAAAGACGCAATATTGGAATGTGATTGTAAACTGACATTTGGGAATGATCATCATCAACAACAACAAATTACATTTGCTTAGTGCCTTTCACATCAGGCAGACATCCCAAGATGTTCAATCATTCCATGAGCTTTCTGATGTCTACAAAACAATAATAACTCTTAATTTTAAAGCTAATTAAATACAAACGTTTGCATCTGGATGACATTTGACGAGGTCGACATAAACTTGTACAGATCACCAGTGAAGTCACAATTTTGGAATATTGGGGGCAGGATCTCAGCAGATACCTGTTGTAGTGTTGATGAGAACCAACCAAAGCACCGTAAAATAGGTTTACTTACCTTTCTCTTTAAACCCTGCCATTTTCATCAGAAATGTTTACTATTTGAGATAGAAAGAGGAAGCATTCATTGCTGATCTGATTCAGTAAATCTGATAACACTTCAACAAACAGGCACTTCCACCTATATGCAAACTTCAACTTGGAGGGGAAAACAATTTTCTACGATTCGTGATAATAAAACTGTTATCGTCTCCTGCAGATTCTGTGTCGTTGTATGATATCTAATCATAAACAAACCACTCACCCAATTCAGCAATTTACTTCTTTAACTGCTGGACCGAAGAGCAAGCGGGAAATTAAATCTACTCCCACAATCCCTCATATGCTCGCTCCACCAGACACACTCCAAGGCAGAGATCGGACAGAGATGGGTCTTCATCTCAGACTACAAGAAGTAGCAATTTATTGGGGAAACCTGAGGATAGTTTTAAATGAAAAACTGGGCCCTGAATGTCAGATACATCTCAGTGCAGCCATTGGGATCAGCAACAGAACACTTCCAAAGCTGTTTGAAAGGGTGTCAGTCCAGCTGGGCAAGTGTTCCATTGCGATGGATCATTACATGTGGAGTCCTGTAGCTTAGTGATTAGAGCACTTGCCTCCCAAGCAAGAAGACCTGGGTTTGGTTCCCAAGCAGGGTGAAACTTGGGGTAAGTGTCCTTCCTTGAAGGGCCTTCTTCATCCAAATCCTTCTTCTGATGTTGAGTAATTAATATTCGTGAGAATCAACAATATTGGATTTTTATTAAACCTTGATCGATGAAGGACATAGTGATTCTGGTAATGATGACTCGCTACAGGCAAAATGGAACCAATGACCAATGTCACAACAAGTGATCTGGAACAAGGTGGTGTATGATGGTAGCAATTAAACACCATTTAAAAAGAGACTTACTGAAGAAAATGTGGAGCAACAATATCCAAAGCACAGGAGTATGGGATATCTTGGGGTAGCCAGGCTGAAGCATCCCATATAACAAGTGATGAACTTTTGGTGCAGTTGGAGACTTGTGCAAGCTCTCAAATTATGGGGATCCAGCACAGAAAAAGAAGGTACAGGCTGACCCCATTATATCGTACCTTGGTCAAATGTGAAGGCGATTACCACAGTCCTGTGAAATATCAAAAGTTCAGAACACTTTTGGCTTCCAGCCCTGAATTGGCCGGCTTCTTGTGCAAAAAGTGCAAGTGCAGAAGACAACACAAGGTCTAGTTGCTGTCTTAGCTGGAGTTGTCCCTGAAAGCAGCTGCCAGAGTCCTGCTCACTGGTGTCGTGCGCAGGAAACATCAGCAGCAACCTGATGACCAGGAAGGGTTGACTGGCAGGCCCCGTCGTAACATGGGGGTCCAAGTTTATGAACCCCACTTTATAAAACAGGGTTGGTCTGTATAAAATATAGCCCCTGTATAGTCACATAAGCCAATATAGGGCTGAGAGAAAGCTGAAAACCCCTTACCAGGCAATAGAGGTGAGCAGTGAAGGCTGAAACAAATGGGGTTTTGTAGACGTAAAACATTACACCTTTAGAAGAGTGGCCAGTTATAAAAGCTGACATGAGACATTCCATTAAAGACTTAAACAGATTTTCTTCACAGGTGGCAACACTTCAAAAGAGCTGACTTTCGAGGGAATGCAAAACGAGTGAAGAAATATTAATTGGAAGCACAATAACAGTTGTGAAATCTACAGTAAAAATAATAGCGGTATATTTAATGAGCTCTTGTGAGGCTCTAATTGAAATCCCTAGCCAGATAATTTAGAAGATTATGGGGCAACAAAAGTTAATATAGTTAAATATGAAAAGTTAGTTATTAAATAATTACCTTTAGATATCCTTATGCAGGAACAAAAATCTCCAAGAATAAATGAATAGGAGCTTGAGGGTCAGCTGTATTTCAGTCACTGTTGACTGGGCAAAGAAACTGAGTAGCATTAGCAAGCAACCTTGGAAAGTAAATTGCTGCTAACCGGACTAGTGTGAACGTGTTCTCTCCCCTTAAGCTATACGTGCAGAGTTACTAACGGAAATGATCTTCAGGCAATTTTGCTTAGTCAGCCTGTGTGTCAGACACGTTGCTGTGCTTAAAAGTATGAAAACCAGACAAAGTTCCACCTATACATGGAAATTTCCAGCCTGGAATTGAATATTTAGGGTGTTATCAGGTGTAGCTTGGTAAAAGCCAATACTTAATGTTTGGGCGACCCCAAAATGTGCATTGGGGATACTGCTGGAGTTTAAATGTTCATAGGTTGCCACTGCGAGCATTGTCTGGTAAGCTTCCTACTGCATTTAATAATAATAATCCTTGCATTTGGTATAGCGCTTTTCACGTCTGGAGGACGTCCCAAAGCGCTTCACAGAACACACTGTAAAGTGAATTGACTATATTTGTGGGCGAACGCGGCAGCCAATTGCGCACAGCAATGTCCACAAAGAGTCGTAGATTGAAAATGACCAATTTATTATTGTTTTGTTTTGGAGGGATTATTATTAGGCTCTGTGTGGAGTAAGGAAACTTGCCCAAGGTTTCGCCCTCTGTCTGGAATTGAACTCAGGTCTCTCACTTGCAAAGCGAGTGCTCTAACCACTGAGCTACAGGACTCCAGCTAGGGCCACCATCCTCGCAGTGTTAAATGGAGCTGAACAGCAAGAATTCCTGCTCCCAGTGACTGGTCTCTTTCAAATCCTGCTGATAAGCCAGAACTGGCTGGGCTGCCATCAACACTTCCTTGGAAC